AGGGGATGGGTGGCCAGCACCATGCTCAGCCGCCTCTGTCTCCCTCGTTGTAATGTTTACCTATCGTATCAAGCACTCATTTCAGTTCAGGACTGATTTTTAAAAATGGTCACTGGTGTTACCCATGTTCGGAAATCGAGATCGGTTCCCGGGAAAAGTTGCGGAGTTCATTCACCACGACACTACCTCTTCCCTACACACACAGACTCAGAATATGTATTTATACTGGAGGAACCCGATGAGCTATAACGCTATTTGTGTTCACAAATGTCCAGTTGGGGCAGGGCAGAACGTTACAACAACAGACAATACAAACCACGATAGGAGGGCAGTGTATAGTAAAGGTAAACAAACTACTTACAAAGAAAAAAATATACAAAGAAAAATAAAGTTTTTTTTATATCTTACCAGATAGAGCCCACTGAGTTATTTGCTTATTTTTCATAAATGACATGGCCATAAATGGCCAGGTCCTGTACCTCCAATTAGCACGGTTGGATACATACGGTGCGAAAGAAGTTCAACGTGCATTAATACAAATGATAGCTCAACGAAGTGGCTTATAGGGTGTAAATGTATTGCAGCACAATAACCTAAATAAACATCAGATACCGATCTAGACACTTCCCAGAAGGCCGGTTATGGGAAGTCTCGAAATTTCAAGCTTTTTTAATCGGGCCCTATATCAATATAAGGATACCATGTATTTTCTCTGCTTAGTATCGATACAATGCCAACTTTTACGGTCGTAAAAGGTGTGGGGTGCGATGACGTTTCTCCACCCCCTTCCTTGGACCCGCCAGCGACCAACAAAACCCCAACAAAACCCTACCCCTAACAAAAACCTACCCGAAAGAACAAACCCCATCCTTACAAATACGTGGGCTGTGTGCGGGAGGACAGCAGACGCCTCGGGGGAGGTGGATTCTCATACATATCGCGGCTCGGGGTGGATAAGACATTTCATCCACGGGGTCGGGAAGAGGTCATGGTCATCGCTAGGGGTCACGTCACTCACAGCAGTCTACTAACAGTCACGTCGCCCACAACGGATGTCAACGTACTGTCAAAGTCCCATGCCGGGCTATGGACGTCTCCGCTCAGGTCTCTCTGTTGGTTGGGATCTCTCTTCGCCTCCATTGTCAAGCAGGGGCCTTTGTTGTCGCGAGACGTCCTCATACACACACGCACACACATGCTAATGTCCCCCACGCAGTCCCTGGATCACGGGGGCCCCCCTTCCTCGTGCTCTCCCCACCCCCTTTCTCACGGGGTTCCCTCTCACGGGGTCCCGTACACACCAGAACACGTGTGTGTGTGTGTGTGTTTACAGAAGACCTCCTTCCATGTGCACTGAATAGACCGTGGGGTCCTCTGGTGTGTACGAATTTAGTCAGTACGCAACACAACGTAATCATCGGCGTCGTCGCGGAGAATATAAGTGACACAAGTGACACGAGTGTTGTTATCACATCTACCCCTTGTAATTAAGGAACGAAACAGGAGGATTTCTCCACAAATCTGGCTGTCGCCTGATGAAGCAATTTGTAATTACTGGCGAAACGTCGTACTCGGATTGTAAATGCTGTGGCTTGGCTCTCCAACACACCGGTGTGCTGTACTAGTGACGAATTGGCCACGTTCGGTTTACGTGACAACTAGTTGGCTGTGTCGGGTGGTGGCGGGTTTAACGACACATTTATATATTTACGCGATCTAACCCAAAAAAAACCTCGATTATGTTGGACTCAATGTGCACCGTACGTAGCCAACCGTACACACTCCCACATACATGACTTAACACGAACTCTTTTTTTATATTACCAGGTAAGGCCCACTGAGCTATGAATCTCGTTTTCAGAAGCGCCCTGGCCACAAACGATAGCTCAACGAAGTGGTTTATCATGTGGAAATTTATAGCAGCCAAATGCTCTAAACGCATGTTGATTCTACGCGACCAAGGGGAGAACATACAAACTCCACATATACAGGCGTCAGGGTTCGGGATCGAACCCACGGCCTCCTGTCTATCGCGGCGCCCTATAACCTATACAATCCCTTATGGGCAACCCCTAAATCGCATCCGCACAAACTATGGTAGCAGATTCGGACACTTGATGCACAAATGTAACATTAAAATCCCTCCGGTAGCGTACGCCTGTGGTCACCCAGAGCAGACCATGGAACAGATGACTCGCTGCCCCATTCACAAATACGAAGGAGGCATCACCACAGCGATGCACTCCGCTACCCCGAAGGCAATCATCCGACTCAACCACTGAGATGGAAAATTCTTATTGTTGCTGCTCCACAACAACAAACATCCCGACGAACAAGACGACTCCATTCCATACACAAACCGTCCGTACGCCCTATAACCCACACCCTCATACGCACAGCCAATAACACCCCCGTATATTCACACACACACACATGCACACCATACACCTCACGCACACGCATCTGGGAACCCTGGCTAACAGCGAGATATATGTAGCGGAAAGAGAAAGGAGAGCGAAGGACACAAAAGAAGCCGTAAATTAAACGCTCTCATTCGAGCTGCTCTGTGCGCCTGAAGCGAGGGACCCGCTTTCCCTAGAGCCTTGGTCCCTGGAATCCTGAAGCCTGTGGATTCTGGAGCCTGGAAATCCTGGAGCCCGGGAATCCTGGAGCCCGGGAATCCTGGCGCCCGGGAATTCTGGAGCCCGGGAATCCTGGAGCCCGGGAATCCTGGAGCCCGGGAATCCTGGCGCCCGGGAATTCTGGAGCCCGGGAATCCTGGAGCCCGGGGATCCTTGGAACCCGGGAATCTTAGAGCCTGTGAATTCTGGAGCCCAGGAATCCTGGAGCCCGGGGATCCTTGGAGCCCGGGAATCCTAGAGCCCGGGAATCCTGGAGCCTGGGACTCCTGAAGCTTGGGAATCCTGGAGCGCGGGAAATCATGGAGCTCAGCCCCTGTCCCTGGAGCTCTGGAGTGCCGATCTCTGTAACCATGGATGTGGGTGACTCCCCCAAATGCCTCCAAATTAAACGCGGGCAATGCCAAAGCTATCTCGGCACCTCCCTGCTTGTCCTGACACTAACATGGGTTAAACTCGTGCTCACACCAATGGGACCCTGCGCTATGCCATGATATACATTCGATTTAAGTTGTGTAACTGTTTTTGAATGAGGTATGTGTGTTGTAAAATACGTTTGATGTTGTAAATGTTCGATTTTTTTCAATCGCGTATGTAGTCATGAAACCACATTATGGTCGATATTGAAATCAAACGAAACTGCAAATCTGCAAGGGTTAGCGCTCGAGTCAGGGCTAGGGAAGTCACGGCGAGGATTAGTCGGGGCTGGAGCTATTCGTTAGAATCAGTTAGGATTAGCTAGGGGTAGTAGCTCTGGCTTCACACGGGGCTGTCGCCTCCTGAGTCCGCAGGCAAGGGTTAGGTCGCCCCTACGTGGTCAAAGCGAGCAGCTGCGGCTGCTGCTGCTGCTGGGAGTAGCGTGCGCGCGTGGACAGAACCACAGCGCGCAATGCACTCTCTCCCTTATTTAGCCAGGCCACGATCCGGACACATTCAAGTTCACATTTCAAAGAAAACCCTGGGTAGCTAAAGGCTGTGGGGAAATTCATGAATCTTCTCCTGCTCCCCCTTCCACACAGTCTTCCCTGATCCATCTCTCCATTAGTCTCTCCTGCACCCCCCCACTCAGCCGTAGTCTGCCTCTGCTCCACCTCTCCCTAACAAAGTCTACCCTGCACCCTCCTTACAGATAATCGCTCCTGCTTCCCCTCCCAGCCACTCTCCCGCTACTCCCCCTCTCCCCGGCATATCATCCCCTGCACCCCCCACCCTCCCTTCCTGACAGTCTCTTCTGCACCCCCTCTCAGACTCGGGCACAAGCGTGGACGTGGTTATTCAAGGCGAGCCCCCTAGGGAAGCACGTGAGCCCTGCTCTTCAAGTGTCTGAAAGCAATGAGTTTGGAAAGTATGTCAGTGACACGAGGAGCACGGATTGCCAGCGCCATCAATCACCGACAAGGTTAAAATAGCCCTTTTGACCTCCAGTAGTCCTCACCGAGGTGTCCGTCCTTTTTTTTTTCCAGCAGTCCGTCTGGCCTTGTGACACAACTTGGAGACGGGCCTCATAGATTTAACTCTCAAGCTCTGCTTGGACAGCCAACCCGGGTCTGGCGTGGCCGCTCAACCCCTGTGAGATTTTACAGGACGACAAATAGAAGCGTCAAGGCCAAGCAACGCCTAGGAGCCCATCGCGAGCTGGACAGGCTGCCGCACGGCAAAGAAACTCGGCAGGACCTGCTACTGCTGCTTCTTCTTCTTCAGGATATTCCGCAGAGCGTCGAGGGGTTATGGGGGTGAGGTCGCAGGGTTGTACCTGGGGGGTCGGGGTGCAAACTCTGAAATGAGCCCCTCAACAGACCATGCCTTCCCAATCGCAATGGGGCAGCATACGCGTGAATGTTTGCTCCACACTGGAATTTGTGCAAGATAAGTTAGGCATGTTCAAAACTTTGTAACTCGATGTTTGTGGGGTCACCGCCTGACCCAGCTATGAAATTCCGCCAAATACACGTGTGTCGGTTTATGCACCGCAGAGAAGACCTCGCCACGCCTAGAGACCAGGCCTTATCAACATGTGCCAGATACTGGCTAAACATACCACTGTGGTGGGCAGGGCATGAGAAGACCTGTGCAACACAGGTAACGCGAGTTTTACTGATAATGCTGTGGTACACGTGTCAAATGCGTGACATGTCAGTGCTGGAAGTGCTCATGCGATTTGCCCGTTCCTGTAGCCGCAACGGCAACACCGTTTGCGGTCGGGCACGGGTGAACCGAACGTAAATGGTCTGCGTCACGGGTGAACGCTCACCATCCGGTCCACCTGAGGGGTACACACCGCTCGTCACGGCACAAGCCGCTGCTCAAGCTCAACGAATGAAGACTCGCGGGCAGCGAGGAATGCGAATCCAGAAACCAAGCCTTTCTCTAAAGTGGGTTTTATTAACGGAGTTTTGTAATCGAGCACAAAAGCTGCGTGGAGTTAAACAGCGCTGCAGGTACATTCAGCTGCGATGAAAGGCACAGAAGGCAGAATGCTTGCCCGGTGCGGGCGCGGGGAAAGGTGTTGTTGGGTATCTGAGACAGTGGTCTGGATAAGGCTGCAGCACCCTGAACTCCGACTTGCATCACAACCCAGCGTTGAATGGAAACCCAATGGAAAAATAAAAACTAACTAAAATGGAGCAGATTACCACCATCACAACATTTCTACCTTCCACAATAAATTACAATAAATTAGGTAAAATAACTTACAACACCAGCACAATGGAAAATAAGTACTATAGTATATCACGTATACTTTAAATCGTAACTAAATTCTAATCATTTGACGATCTGCTGATGGAATTAATATCAACAAAACCAACTCATGACACTTAATTTAAATAATTATTAACTCAAACACTGGCAGGTAGAGACCTTGCACTCTCTTGCATATTCGTACAGCTTGATGCAGCGGATAATCCATTGGGTGTGGATGCGGCGGAGCATCTATCCAACACGGACCGAGTCCCTGCCTCTGTCGCGGGAGGCAGCGTTTGAACCGAAGCCGTGCCTCAAACACAATGCCGCCAATGTTGAATGCTAGCGACAGGCCTAGGGTGAAGGTGTTCCTCCGTTTGGAGAAAAGGTAGGCTTGAATTTCTATTGGTGCCTCTCCCGCTGCCAGCTGCAGAACCACGAGGCACTGTCGTTTGTGAACCCAGTTTCTGAACATTGATCCGGGAGCATCCGTGCCCATGCTCAGCGTCTTCCACGTCCACTGCGCCACGGGAAAGAGCCCTATCACTGCCACTTGCACGCATTTCTGGAGCTAGGACGCGACCCGTTTCTTTAACCTGGTGGTCTCGTTCACCTGGGCAAGGAGAAACCAAGGCGCTCAAAAGTCACGTCTTCAAGTCGCAGCATTCCAGGCGTGCATGACGGAGGCACAGTCCCACGGCCGACAACTGGTAGGTGCGAAATGACCAAAACCAGTGGCATAACTGTTACTAAGTCAGTCACTGTTAGTCATAACGGCAGCAATATTGTTATTAAGTCAGTCACTGTTAGTCATAACGGCAGCAATATTGTTATTAAGTCAAGTCACTGTTAGTCATAACGGCAACAATATTGTTATTAAGTCAGTCACTGTTAGTTAAAACGGCAACAATATTGTTATTAAGTCAGTCACTGTTAGTCATAACGGCAAAAATATTGTTATTAAGTCAGTCACTGTTAGTCATAACGGCAGCAATATTGTTATTAAGTCAGTCATTGTTAGTCATAACGGCAGCAATATTGTTATTAAGTCAAGTCACTGTTAGTCATAACGGCAGCAATATTGTTATTAAGTCAGTCACTGTTAGTCAGAACGGCAACAATATTGTTATTAAGTCAGTCACTGTTAGTCATAACGGCAACAATATTGTTATTATGTCATGCACTGTCATAACGGCAACAATATTGTTATTAAGTCAGTCACTGTTAGTCATAACGGCAACAATATTGTTATTAAGTCAGTCACTGTTGGTCATAACGGCAACAATATTGTTATTAAGTCAGTCACTGTGAGTCATAACGGCAGCAATATTGTTATTAAGTCAGTCACTGTTAGTCAAAACGGCAACAATATTGTTATTAAGTCAAGTCACTGTTAGTCATAACGGCAGCAATATTGTTATTAAGTCAGTCACTGTTAGTCATAACAGCAGCAATATTGTTATTAAGTCAGTCACTGTTAGTCATAACGGCAGCAATATTGTTATTAAGTCAGTCACTGTTAGTCATAACGGCAACAATATTGTTATTAAGTCAGTCACTGTTCGTCATAACGGCAACAATATTGTTATTAAGTCAGTCACTGTTAGTCATAACGGCAGCAATATTGTTATTAAGTCAAGTCACTGTTCGTCATAACGGCAACAATATTGTTATTAAGTCAGTCACTGTTAGTCATAACGGCAACAATATTGTTATTAAGTCAAGTCACTGTTAGTCATAACGGCAACAATATTGTTATTAAGTCAGTCACTGTTCGTAATAACGGCAACAATATTGTTATTAAGTCAAGTCACTGTTAGTCATAACGGCAGCAATATTGTTATTAAGTCAGTCACTGTTGGTCATAACGCAACAATATTGTTATTAAGTCAGTCACTGTTAGTCATAACGGCAACAATATTGTTATTAAGTCAGTCACTGTTGGTCATAACGGCAACAATATTGTTATTAAGTCAAGTCACTGTTAGTCATAACGGCAGCAATATTATTAAGTCAGTCACTGTTCGTCATAACGGCAGCAATATTGTTATTAAGTCAAGTCACTGTTAGTCATAACGGCAGCAATATTGTTATTAAGTCAGTCACTGTTAGTCATAACGGCAGCAATATTGAAGAAAATAATTCCATTGCTTATTGTTGAACCAGGAATGTTATTCCAATACCAAACAAGTGGAACTTGCCTTCACGCAAAACAAGTGCTGCGTGGGACATGCCCACCTTGTCCCCCACAGCACACTGCACACAGCTGGAATTTAAACTCCCCGCCTTTAGACTCTGCAGCTTAAACTCTTGTCAGCAAGCCTGGGTTGAAACTTTCTTGGTAACACGCGCAATGTCTCCAAGCCTACCGATTACGTATTATGTATCACTCATCGTTTTATCACAAAATAAAAATTGCTCTGTGAATATCAAATGTCTTAAAATCATTTCGAATGGGGGGGGGGGGAAACGACTTTGGTTGTTGATCCATTACAGTGAGCACAGGATGCTCAGTCCCCCCTGCTTGCTTCTGAACCCCTGCCCACCCCCAGTCCCGTGCTCCTCCTGAATTACAGAGTCCCTAGTGACTGCCAAAAGCACTGCACGCCACCATTATCCAGCAACGGATCTGCCGACTCGATGGCCCCGTTCACAGCGACGCTATGCAGAGCACATGAGGCCACCATGGCGCCTAACCACGGGCCCTTGGGGGCAGTTCTTTAAAAAAAGTCGCGAACTCTACGCTTCGTTTGAATTGTGAAACTCTGGTTACGCGTAAAAATATAACAAACCTGCGTACAGTTTGCGCCGACGCACATCGACACCTGCTTGGGCCAGTGGTGCTAGGCAGAAGTCTCACTTCAATGCCTCTCTCATCCTTAAGAGACCAAACAAAGGCTCCTCGAAATGCAGAGCCCACAGTGCCTTCGTCACCAAGTCAACATGTTAAGTGTGCGGCAACATACAGAGAGCGGTACACACATTTATGCCATAGTTTAGTCTTTTCATAAATGTTGATATATGGTATCAGACCACTTTCCTGATATCTCAGTGCGTGCGTTCAGTAGTAGATAATCCAGACACCACATTTTCCTGATATTGGTATAAAACATTCTAAACTCCCACGCATAAATTACGTACCCGATTAGCATCCGTCTCCTTCCCCCATCACAAAGGACAGCAGAACAAAGCAGGACATACTGCCGATGACGGCAAAATCATTAAATGAGCACACGAATACAGCCACAGTGCTGGCTTTACCGTGTGTGTTGTCCTGAGAATCAAACAGAAATCTTCTTGCAACAACGTTAACTTCCACGAGGCGTATTCATGGTTTCAGTGGACTGGCTTTCATGGCTAATGTTGAAAGCACATGGGGAAACACTGGAACTTTTGAGCCAGAGGCCATGGCTCACATCCAAACCTGTCCCCCTTCGTGAAAACCATGGTCACATTTCTCATGTACATTAATTTTCCATATCCTGGCTTCGTACTTACGTAACAATGAAGGCTGCACTTGTGCAAATAATGGACCAGTCAGACCATCCCTGCCCAGGCTCCAGCAACGGGGCTGGTGAAATTGCACACCAGTGAGGATGGGCAGCGGCCTGAGAGGGGGAATGTGTCAACGGCCAAGTTCTGCGGCAGTTCTCTCTGCACGCACATCGAGTGGAGCAAAGCTGCATGGCCCCGGGGAACACAGGGCAAGAGGCTCGTGGCCGGAGCTCCCTGCACGCAACGGATTCAAAACCATCTCATGAGGAGAGGCTTGTTCCTTCGCTGGATCTGCCAAATGTTCACCGTTGTGCCCCTCTCTACGGCTGACAATTACTCACTGCCGCCCACTGGGCGAGCACCGATGGAGGGCGTGGAGAACCCAGCCCCCTTGTTTCAGAGCCAGCTCCCTCCTCAACCTCTGCCTTGGGCTCGTCTGCTGCCTCTCGGTCGCCAGACGAGTACGAGACCACGTATGCTTATGCGCACGGATCCCGATTCTCATGGTGCGTGCAACAGATGAGAAGCAGACAATTCTCAGGTAATCATTCACGATGCGCGGGTCTTTAACAGCCACTCAAGTGTTATTGCTGTCGAGAGGGTCACCGTTTCACCATGGTTGTGGTCTCAAAGCCAGGCTACAGACTTATACCGTGAGGAATGAGGTCTCACACAAGACACTAGAAACAGGCAGGGGGTGCCAGCTCCCCATGTAGCACTCAAGTTCTTCTTTAGAACTGTTTTTCTTTAGTATGTCAATCACATTCACTTTGAGAGGCCCCGTGCAATGACTTAAAAACGTAATGATAAAATTTTTTGGAATTTTCTTCCTCCTCGACCCCCTAATCCAGCCCCAAAATTTCAATGGCACTTTAAAGTCATTGAAGGACTCAGGAAATTGGTAGCCAGGGTTCTCAGCCTGATCTGTCTCTGGGATGAAGACATATAAATAGTACATACACAGTTCTTAGCCTAATTGTAATAAGCATGTATTATTTAAGCTCAATCTCAGAAACTACTCAACAAAACAAAAGGGATTTAGATGGATTCGTTTTGAAGCTGCAGATGGCGTTTGAAGCATTCATCCTCCCCATGTCGCTACAGACGAACTCTCAAGGGATGCCCTGCCCCTCCCCGTACTTCACATTCCCTCCCCTTCACTGCCCATCCCCTCGCTGTCCATCCCCTCTTCGTGCTGCCCAGCTTCCTCCCCCACCCCTTGCTGCCCTGCCCCTCCCCACAATGTCCAGTCCCTTTGTCCACTTCTGTACTGCCGCAAGCAGCGATGTCCATCATTGTTACCGAAACAACAACTAGACATTACTGGCATAATGTAATCATTACTATTGACTAGCATAGGAATACTCGTTATTAAAGTATTTCATAATAACTGCTACCGACTTTTCGACTCCCAAATCATTTGGGCAGCAGAGTATTTGGTGATTACGCCTGGGATGTTTGCCGGAGACGGGGCTTGGGGAGTTAATCCACCAAAGCGGTTCGGGGCACGCAAGCGCGGTGCCGCTCCAGAGCTTGGCAACAAGACGGCGCACGGTGGAGCAGCACGTAACGCAGGGAACGCCGCGTCGCTCCCTCCTGCAGGTAGCACGGTGAGACACAATGCCTCTCCGTCACTCCTGCACCAGCTCCTGCAGGCAGCATGGTGAGCGGAAGGCCTCGGGCACAGGGCTGTCCAGCTTGCAGATTATTTTGTAGATGAATTTCTTCCAGGATGGGTCTGTGTCTCTGCCGGCCTTGACGGCTGCGTAAAACTCTCGCAGGGTGATCCCCGCTACCTCCAGGAAGGCCTCCGGCACCTGTGGTACACAATACGAGATCATCAGCGGCTCAAAATCCAGCCTGATATAACCCTTGCGCAAGCCCAAAACATAGGCGTGGGTCGTCACAATGTGAAAATAAAACACTTTCATGTTACTATTCACGAACAAAACTCATCCTTGAAATTGCTCGATGCTGAGCATCATGAGGATGTTGAGTGTGTGTATTCTTACATAAGTGATGGATAACAGGTTACTACCAATAAAACCGTAACACATAACAACTTTACATTGTTTTCTGCAACCGATGGCTCCTCTTGCTCATTCGGCATCTAATAATTTGGCTCCTTTGAAACACACGGGGATTCAGTCTGTTAGGCACTTAACAACGCATTGATTCACCCTATAAAAATCGATCATGCCCACAAAACACGCATCAAATCGTACGTGGAACATCTACAGTACTATATTTTACCGTTACATCGAGGCAAATGGAGCAAAGAAACGAGCCGAAAAAGGAATCATGTGTTTTAAACGAACAGCAACGCAGTCAGGACAATACAAATGCTGGGAGGTCAAACTGTCAACGCGTCTAAAACCCGACATAACCAAGTCGCGATCATTCTTGAGTGCATGCTCAGGTTTCAAAACAAAACTGTACCGAACAGCAATACTCCCGTTAATCAGGATAATACACACTTTAGGCTTAACATCTAAACATATCATCGCTGTACGGGTCCTGTCCACAATACATGAATTCACGCAAGGAGAGAGGGGGGGGGGGGGAAAAAAAAACACAAGCAGAGGAGCGTGGAAGCAGGAGTGCGGCCAGCTGACAGCACTCTTAATTGAGAGCACACGAGTGACCCATTGCATTGTGCTCCTGCCCCAACCGGCAGATGGCTCAAACAAAACCAGGCAGACTCCGCTCGCTCTTGCGGAGCCTGCGGCTGCCAAGCGCTGGCACGGGGGGCAGGGCGTTCCCGCTGCTCTTTGCCTCCTCTTTTCATCGCGGAAAACCGTGGACACGGCACAACGCCGCAAACTGCACTGGGCGTAGACGACCACCCTCCCTCCCCTCCCCGCCCCCGTTCCCCTCCTCCCGCCTCCAATGTTCTTAACAGACATCCCCCAGGAGCCCAGAGCTGCCTTCAATGTCCGTGTACCGAGTCCCACCAAGGGCCCTCAGCACACCATGCTCGGCTCCAAGAGCTGGAAGCGCACCCTGCAAGGGGATCCCCCGAACTCCGCTCTCATTGAGCCTTTGAAGAGCCATCGATTACCCTCGCAGGGCATCTGATGCCACTCCGCAAACGCTCGTCTCCCCTTTGAAAACCCGCAGCGAAAACACGTGGCAGGGTAAGCAACTGTCCCCTTGCAGAGCCGCATCCTCTAATGGAACCCTTATAAATGTTATCGTCTGTGTATGTGTAGCGAGTGCGTACTGGTTAGTGCAGTGCTGCTGCGGGAAAGGAATAATAAATGTCCTTTTCAGTGACGGCCACTGAGTAACGGGGCAATTCTGAAAAGGCAGGAGGCCGCGCGCTTTATACATACAAAATAGGCGCCTTGAGACATTAGTGGAAGGCACCTTACAAATAAATGTAAAATCTTAATATTAGTGTAATGGATTTCTCAACAGGAAGTCATTTTGGGGAAGCTATGTAGGCTCTGCTTTCCCATAACACAAGGCCTTCAAAAGCAGACCAATAGCTATAGCGCTCACTCACAAATCTCTACAGAGAGAAGCTTTAGAAGGCATCACAACACATGCCAAGTCTCAGCAGATCAGTGTGCAATTTGCTGGACATCTGCACATCATCTATACGAGCTACTAGCATACAGATGATGTGCAGGTGACCAGGGAGGGGAGAAGCTGTGGCTCAGCAGCTGCTGTATACGTCTCCTATGGGACGAACGGCACAAGCACCGGCTCAACGTCAGTGTAGCAAGCACGCGGACTTGGACAAAAGAGTGTCTCACCACGCTGCGTGCCTCTCATCATGCTCACTGGGTATTTAAATTCACACGGCTGCTTTTGTACCCGAGCTGGACTCTGTAACCAAAGGATGTAAACTTGAGGTTCATCCAACCACCTATCAGAGCCCCACCTTGGCCAGCACTGCCCGTGGATGTTTCTACACTGGAATCGTAGTGCCGGGCGCCTATCCACAATGGCCGTGGTGCGTCCCGTGGGTAACGAGTCATTGCTTATGGACTATAGTTGGTGTGCCGCGCGTGCATGCTCGCACAGGGGTGCACTGGTTCACGTGCGCGTGCCGATGAACGTGCTTGCCTGGAAATCGTTGGACTTGTTGTAGTGAGCGTTGATCGCCTTGAAGAGCTCGGAGTCGCGAGTGACGCCCAGCGTCTCCCCGTCAAGCCCCTCGGTCACGGCAGAGCGTGCAAACTTCTCCATCTGGATGTAGTAGAACTCGCGGAAGTTGCTGAACCACTTGATGAGCTGCGACGTCGTGCACCTGTTAAACTGCACCACATACACCATGCACGGTTCTGTCACTCACTACTCGGTGTTGTCTGAAGTGCTTGCACATTTTGGCTAACTGATAACACTTCTTTTCATAGTTTTACTTGTTAAATTATTATTCATGCATGCTGAGCATCTTTTGCACCAAATGCAGCCAACCGTGCCAATCGTAGGTACAAGAATAGCAAGCTTATTTCCAAGAAAACACACACCTGCAACATGCACACGGTCAAAACACAAGGCCACCAACTCCCCCATGACGTGCATCTGCTCCACTGACCCATTGTCACCAGTGAGAAACGGACAGCATCTGTCGATGATTTAGCCTCATTAAGCGATGGCTGTGGGGATGCGGGGATACAGAGCAGTGCTACCAGATGGGGGAGGGAGGGGGGGGTGAGTAATGCTCAAGTTTAAATTCTTAACGTGAACAATCGGCGCACACGGGGAAACAAGCACACAGAGACACCAGTACACAAGGAGACCAGCTGACACGAGGAGGCCAGTGGGCAGAGATCAGCACACAATATCACAGCCAGACCATCACATATAATCGGGAAACCAGCATATACACACACACACACCAGTAACCAGCACACACACAGATATCAGGATCAGCAAAGACAGGGAGTAGGGCACACAGGCACAGCTAACTGAAACAATTACAGATCATTTGAAATGCAGATCCACAGCACCAAGGAAAAACACAGCCAAACAACGGTAAGAACATTGAGATACGGGGAGGTCAAGCAGGACCTCTCCACCTAGGGGCCGTGAAAGCAAAAGAGGTACACGAGTCACAGGATATGTAGCAAAACCAAACCACACTCAACCGTCCCTTGAAAACCCAAGCCCCGTCGCCTCACACTCCAGCGGCAAGACTTGTCCCATCTGCATATTATCATGGTACATCACACTATACCCCCTCCCCCACCCCCACCAACACGTATATAAAACGAGAAATGCCGAAGTAGACATGTTGTGGTTATCGTAGCAGCCACTGCTGCTGCTGCTGCTGCTGGTGGTGGTGATTGCTGGTTCAGACGCGGCTGACCTTCACATCCGGGAAGTAGAGCTTGAGCATGTTGGAGCTGGGGTAGCGCGAGTAGAAGAACATGAGCTTGGCCTTCTTGAGGTGGTGCGGAGTGAGGCCCTCCTGCAGCAGGGGCTGGACCATGAGGCCGTCCTGAACAGGGCCTCCCGTCAAGGAGCACAGAGGAACCCGGGGCGACACTCGCCGTTTCATCATTACGTGTCCTTCATTGTGAGTGCCCATTATCACACATTCATTATGTTTTCATCGCCCTCACAAGCATCATCACCAACACGACCATGCTATTCATTCATAGCGATTAATTGCACCTGTAACGACGTGGGCTCGGGCCACACGCGTGCACTCAAAGGCCTCCCCCCCCCCCCCCTGTCAGCCTGAAAAGGCTCAGGATAATTACTCCCATCAACAGCTGAATGCACACAAGCACGTACGCGTGCACACAAGAATACATGTACTCAGTCATGCGTCGCCTTCATGTGACGAAACCCAAGGTCATGACACAGCTGCTGCATGGCTCGAGTCATAACCCGCGCGCCCACGTGAGCCGGCTTCACCACCTCCACTGCCGATTACGAGCAGGGCTGAGGCTGCGGCAAGTTGGGCTCCACTCTGCATTAGGCGAGCAGGCCGTGGGCTCATGCCGAAGAATTCCTTCTACGTTTAAGCAAAAACACCAGGCTTAGCACTTTACAATATCCACACGAATAATAAAATCCACACATACACGCGACTGCGTAAATTGGCATAACGTTGTGGCACGTATTAGTTTACTCGTTTTACGCTGTAAATATTCCGTGAAGGTTTTTTAAAACGATGCCATACAGGGCTCGCATTGTGAGGTCAGGAGGAACAGATGCTGCCGCAGGAGGCGTGGCTCTATCACGAGCGGTCCCTGTGGGCTTGTGGGACCCACAGATTTACGACTCCCGAGCCAAACCAGCCCCAGACACCAAGGCACAAAACTGTGCATGGTGGTCTTCACACTCGCACCCACATCTGCTGTGAACTGAGAATTCATTTCACGAGTATATAATGAGCTGTTGGGACACATGACCACGAGTGCCAACCGATGCTACACAGCCTCCAGGCTTTGCAGGAAGCAGTGGATGAAGATGAATCAATAGTAGTTCGGTTTCTGTTCTCCAGCAAGCACATGTGGAGCCTTAAGATCTCAATTGCATCTGACCGGTGAGGTCTAAACCCATCATCTTCTGTTCACGAGTAGTGAGAAGAATAAATTCACCCCGATGGCTAACGCCGACAACACGGCCAACTCTCAGGCAGCGCCCGGTCAGTCGCCCAGAGGCACTGGTGTCTGGGGGGAGCCCTGTTGCTCTATAAACAATGTTGCTCTGAGACATGAGCAACACACTCTGGAGAACTGGACCCCTTACTGTGGAAGGGCACTGTGGCAGTCAATGCCAGCAAGCATCAGGGTAAGGCCACCACACTGGGATAGCGACATGGGGAGCCGCATGCCACACAGACTGATACATGCGCGGCATGCCCAAAGAACAGGCAAAGAGCCATGATCTTTAAGCGCGAAGTACAACGATCATAATCTTTGCCCTTTCAAGGCCATAGACGAGTGTGGGTGTGGGGAGAAACTGAGGTTTTAGAATAAAATGATAAACATCGGGAGATAAGGAAAACAGTCAATTTCCCAGGCAGGCAGGGTGGGTGCTCTTTTCCTGTGCGCTGAACACAAAAGACAGCAGCTCCACCCCGTGCTCTGCCAGGAAGATAAAGCAAACAATGAAATGGTGTAACCCGAGACACAGGGGCAGGTGCAGGAGGCTGGAACCAAGGAAGGGAGGATGATGGGGGTGGGGGAACAGAGTGCTTGAGATTCATAGTGTGACAAACGCTTCTCACAGTGCAGTCATGGCCACGCTGACCTCCGCCTCCACAGTTCAAGCCAAGCCCGAGGTCTTGATCGACTCCACAACACCCTCACAAGCCTTAGTCATTCCGCTTCGGTCAATTCGCTGAAGACATTTCTGCATCTCTCAAGCATTCGGAAAGGAAGAGTATTTCTGTCTTAACTGTGACCGCTCCAGCACACCTGGGGGAGGCAGGTTCAGCCTCCGTGTGAAGAATGGCCCTGCCAAGGGCTTGCCAAGTGTCACCGCTCACGGGACTCATGTGGAGCATGGAAATAGCCCCATGGACGAGGTCGAGTTCAAACTCATTATAGCAGGATTGAATTACCATGCGGTTAGGCCAAGAGCCCCGTGGATGGGTGCTCAGCAGCCACGGCTCTTCCACCAGGGACAAGAGCTCAACACTGGCAGGCCCTGTTTCACATTAACACTCGCAAAACCCACTAGTACTCAAGGTCACTCTCAAACAAAGCACAATTCCCAAGAGCTCACCTTGGAATGTGTATTGTGTGTACTGTGCACACAGACAGTGTGTTGTGTATACATATGGGGTATACAAAACACAATGTCTAGATGATTCACTGGACAAGCAAAGATTCATCATTTTAACAGGGAAGCCTTTTTCCGAGTGATGTCTAAAATTGTCCAAAGTTGTCTCAATACTAACATTCTTAATTTACTGTAAATGTAAGCACACTTGCCTGTACAGAAAGCAATTTCTGGTATATTGGGATTCTATAATTTCCAACCGGAAAAGGCAAAAGTTTACTTTAAAATTATTTTCACGCTAATTCCTACAATAATGATCTGCTCACCCAAGTCAGGTGGGATTGTGACTACAATTGCACAATTGTAATTATGTGCTACTGTTCTGCACATAACAAAGTCAAGTGACACGAAGATTCCTCATGGCACCTAACAAGAGGATTATATGCAGCGCCCGTCACTGAACAACTCATGGACTACGCCTTGGCCACGGGTGACTCGTACACATACACATACTTCTACTCCAGGCTGTGCATTTCACACTGTTGACATGTTTATTACTTTGCTCAAACATGAATTCCTTTGACTGAAATGATGACTAATGCCGCCTTGATGTTGTCTCAAGTCTCCATCGTAGGAGATGAAAAATCTCCGGATGGCCCCTTGGGGCTGTGGATACATTTTCATTAATTTAGACAAAAGGTATGAATCTAATGCAACTGACATCAACAATCACTGACACTATAACAGCAAGTGATAACCCAAACACGAGAAAATCCGTGCCTTGACATATCAGGAATTAAACCAAACAAATTGCTCAAAAGGTTAATTTCACAAGCACTCCCAAAATCTATCAAAAATTCTACCTGAAAGACCTTTCATTCTTCTCCCACCTCGCTACCAGCCTCCTATCCTGCCGTCACCATCTACTCACGCAACCTCAGATGAGACAAATGTGAAGCGATTGGTTGTCATGCCAACAAGTGCAGCTGAACGTGTCACCCAGAAATCTCAATGTCTCAACCAAGGCTTCGCTCATAGACGCATGCATTTCATGCTGTGCCGATTAGCTTCAAGCACCAAAGAAATCAATTTTGAATCAAATGAACGGTAATTGTCATTGCCCTTTTGATGGACGAGCATGCAAATGCTGCATATCTTCAATTAACAACACTAACCAGGGGTACCCTTGAACTCGATAAGCGATGTATGCATGAATAGATCATCATTACATACATATGATAGGCCACGAAGTTTAGGGGAGGGGTAAGGGGGTAGTGGAAGAGAGTGGGGAATGGGTGGGGATAGTTTCACAACCGCGCAAGTTCACCCACGGACATGCGGGAAATTCCGCGAGTGCACATCTGTGACTAAGCAGACCAAGTTTGCTCGTGACCATGGCTGAGGCTTTGAAGGATACGGTGGTGGTGGTGGCATAGGGAGAGACGTCGCTGGTGTCCTGCAGGTCCCCGCACTCAGACTTCACCAGTGAAGTGGAGAGACCATCCCCAGAGCTGCTGGTCAAGGTTGGAGATGTCGCAGCGATGGGAGGCCCTCCTACCAGCCCAGTGTTACTTGGTGGCTCTCCTAGAAGCTGTACCCTCCCTGGCAAGTCTTTGGCAAGATCCAGAATTACTGGTGACAGGCCCCCATCCTCCTTACGAGTGCTCCCCATGCCCTCCTTAGTGGCTGTGCCGCCTGGCTCACACAGAGGCTTGGGCAGCGAGGAGAGCAGAGGAAGGGGCAGCGAAGAGCCGGGGAATCCCGGAGAGCAGAGCAGGGGGAGGCCAGCAGAGTGGTGATTACCAAACAGTGCACCTTTGGAGCATTGCCCTTCAGAGTAGGACTTTCGTACGACCAGTGGAAGGGCCTCCGTCTGGTCTACATAACCTTCTGTTGCATTGGCTGTGACATGAAAGGGCCTATTGTCCAAGCTTCTGCCCAGGACATCACTTAGGCACTGTGAGAGGCAGTTGTTAGACTTGACATCGTGCCTTTCCCCGTTCGTTGTGGGCCTCCCCACCAGTGAGGTCTTCAGCTGTTGGGGAGCCGTGGTTAGTCGAGGACTGTGTGGTTTCGCTGAGAACATCCGCACAACCGAGTCCACCACCTGAGACACAGCACCATGGAGCCCGTTCTTAAGAGCCTCTGCAAAGTCATCTCCATCCTCTTTTAGGAGGTCATTATGCATCCTCTGTCTATTCTCCACTCTGTTTCTTGAGGGACACTTTGTGTGAATCCTATCACTTGCCTCAAACCTGCAATCATTCACTGCTGTCCGGGAACAATGGTGAGCATCGTCAAAATAATCGGCAGCCTCGAGCAAGGGGGCGCGAAGCTGAGAGTGCCTCCCTACCCGCATAGATGCACTTTCATCTGCAGAGTCCTCTCCAGTGTGGTCCTCCAACTCGGAGTCGCTGCTGCTGCTGTACACCTGGAAGAACTTCTCCTGCAGCTGGCGCAGCTGCCTCTGTAGGTCCTCCAGCTGTTGCTTCAGGCGCCGCCTCTCCTCGGCACACTGCTCCCCTGTCTGCCTGCTACCCTGCCGGGACCGGCGTGTCCCCCGAGAGCCCTGGCTCTGTTGCTGGGGTAGGCGTTGCTTACGCTTGTTCTCTCGCTGTTGCTGTGATGTTGGTAGGTGAGAGCCTTGGCTCTGGGGACTCGACCTCGGAGGGTGGAGGGGACCCCCTGGCTCCTCTGTCAAGTCTGAGGGACAGGGCCTCTCTCCTGCAGCGACGCACTCCTCATCATCCCTCTCCCCACGGCAAACGGTGCCAACGCCCAGTGGAGAGTGGCTCATGCCACGAATGATGCTCTCAACGCGGGCGCGCTTGGCCTGCAGGTGCTCATCCAGGGGCCGGTTGCCCACAGGCGATCCTCTTTCCTGGCCCGAGTCACTTCCCTGGCGCTCCGTGCCCTCGGAGCCATGCCGCTTCCTGCACACTATGCCTGGCACCAGTGAAGAGTTGCTACCACTGCTGGCGCAGTGCTTGAGGAGTGCGGTGCCGAGGTGTCCAGGTGAAGCAGGCTCTGTTGTGCGGAGTAGCTGATCCAGAATGGTGGAGCCCGCGGCCGCCTCCCTGGTGCCGTCAGGGGCATTGCCCTCGGGGCTGGGCAGCACCACACTCATGGGCACCGAGGGCCTCCTCCCCACGCTCACGTTCCACGCGTCGCTCTTCCCGGATGCTCTAGTGCATCACTGAACAGCACAGGCGTCGAGTGACAACTGCATCAAAGCAGCATCGCTGAGAAAAACAAATACAGAGGGATTTGGTGAGTGATGCTCTCACTGCAATGACACAGAATTTCAAATTGTAACCAGGCAATGCAAGCTCCGGTAAAGCCATTTCAGGTATCACATCTGTTTTCTACAACCATGAATATGGAACATTTTTTTATTCAAAATAACTCTTTCAAATGTCCATTGCATATTCAGAATTGTAATATTTTAAACTCGGAACAATAGATAATAAGCATGCAGTTGAGGAAGCAACATCGTTGGCTCGGCAGGGAACAGCGACCGCTCAACCTGACACCGTCATTACTAAACATTTGGCAGCAACAGCTCTAAACCCGGGGCTTGGGAGCTCGCGTCCATATTCAAAGTACCCTACCGAGATTCACTCTATTTGGATCGGGGGGGGGGGGGAGGTGGCGATTGAGTCAGCCGGGCCCCTGCGGCTAGGAGGCTGCTCAGCCTTGTTGCACCTCACGATGGATTCCCCATTAGCCCAGCAGCCCTGGGGAGAGAGAGGCACGGGAACCAAGTCCTGAGCCGCCCATCCAGCTGGCGCGGCTTAATGGGGTCCGTGCCCCCCCCCCCCCAACCCCGTCACGCACGCGGCAGCACTCGTGTCCCAGGATGCTAACTCGAGGGAGATGGGAAAAGCAAGATTTACATCTCCTGTGTGGCGCATTACAAACGCGGCGTGCTGCGCTGTGACCCCCAACGTGTTTCCGCGGAGGCGCGCGTCTGCCCGGCGCTCATAACGGGACGTGGGGACAGAGGCCCCAGCACCACAACCCCTTCTCTTACTCCCTACCACCAAGCCGAGATGAAGCACCCCTTCCTGAACGATCTGTGCGCGCCTCGTTCTCCACCCCACACCCAAACGACGCCTCGTGGCTTTGATGCGCCGGGCCGAGAGCGGGGCCTTACAGGTGCACGCCCGCTTCCCGTCCTCGCCAGATAAACCCGGACCCTGGGACCTTGAAGCCCGACTGACCCACGAAATATTTTCCCACGAAACTCTTTTAAGGACGCGAGGCTAACGCAGCAGCAGCAGCAACAGCAGCGCCCAGGCGAACGCACACGTGGGTGATCCCATCAAGTGGCAATTAAACACGGCGCGGCTGTTATTAGGTGGCCGTCATCATGCAATTTGGAGGGAATTACTGGGCGCGGCAACAATCACGACACCGCTCATTATGGCAGACACTCGTACTCAGACGCCAGCCACCACCACCACAACCACAACACGACGGCTCACGGCAGAGCCCAGGACGAACACGCCGCGTAAAACCACCACGCGAGCCCCAAACTCACACCGCGATCGTGGCCGCCGGGTGAGGATTACGGTCGGAGTTTGGAGAAAGTCAGCATGAAGAAGGCTGTAGAGTTAAAGAGTCGGCGTCCGGGTTGAGGTGGGGCGTTGATTACTAACGATTAAGGCGGGGTTAAGGTAGATTCGGGCGGCGGCGGCGGGGGGGGTGGTTCATGGTTAAAGTGAGGGTCACGGTGAGATGTGGAGACGTCAGTTGCACACGGGAGAGACACAAACAAAGGACGCGGAGGACAAAGGAGGCGGCCCCGCCACCAGGATGAAGGGAAGGGGCGCTCCTCCCGGCCCTCTCCCTGCCTCCCTCTTATCGTCTCTGCTTCTCTCTCTCTCTCTGCCTCTCCCTCTCTGTTACCACCCCTCCCACCTCTCCGTGACTCTCCTTTTCCCTCTTATCTCCCTGCCTCTCCCGATGTTTCCCCCCCCCTCCCCTTTCTCGTCTCCCGCTCCGCCGTCATCTCCCTGCCTCTCTGTCTCCCCTGGACTCGCTCCACACCTTTACCTGTCGGGACTCGGTCGACGAGAGGCTCCCCTGGGTAGACGCAGCAAGTTGGCACTTGGCACAAGGGGCTCCCGAGGCTCTGAGCTCCCGCCTCTGGACTCCAGACTCAGGGTCCCGGATCCCGTCTCCTGGGCACGTGGCTCCCGGCTCGTGGCTCCCGGCTTCTCGGCTCGTGGCTCCCGGCTCGTGGCTCCCGGCTTCTCGGCTCGCCGCTTGGTGACCCCGGCCCACGGATTCCGAGCTCTGAGGCTCCGCGCCGGGCGCCAGGGAGTACAGTGCGGTCAGGGGGCGTGGCCTCGAGGAGGTGGAGCCGGGCCAGGGGGCGGAGGCCAGGGGCGTGGAAGCGGAGCCAATATCGAGGGGGCGGGGTTTCGAAGGCGTGGCTATGTAAAGAGTAAGAGAGGGTAGCCAGGGGAGGGGGGTAGCCAGGGGAGGGGGGGTAGCCAGGGGAGGGGGGTAGCCAGGGGAGGGGGGGTGGCCAGGGGAGGGGGGGGGGGTAGCCAGGGTTAGTGGTCGCCAAGGAGAGGATGGTCAGGGTAGCCAGGGGGGGGGGGGTAGCCAAGGGGGGGTAGCCAGGGGGGGGTAGCCAGGGGGGGGTAGCCAGGGGGAGGGGGGTAGCCAGGGGAGGGGGTAGCCAGGGGGAGGGGGGGTAGCCAGGGGGGAGGGGGGTAGCCAGGGGGAGGGAGGGGGTAGCCAGGGGGGAGGGGGTAGCCAGGGGAGGGGGTAGCCAGGGGGAGGGGGGTAGCCAGGGGGAGGGAGGGGGTAGCCAGGGGGAGGGGGTAGCCAGGGGAGGGGGTAGCCAGGGGGAGGGGGGGTAGCCAGGGGGAGTAGCCAGGGGGAGGGGGGGTAGCCAGGGGGAGTAGCCAGGGGGAGGGGGGTAGCCAGGGGGAGGGGGGGTAGCCAGGGGGAGGGGGTAGCCAGGGGAGGGGGTAGCCAGGGGGAGGGGGGGTAGCCAGGGGGAGGGGGGTAGCCAGGGGGAGGGGGGGGTAGCCAGGGGGAGGGGGGGTAGCCAGGGGGAGGGGGGGTAGCCAGGGGGAGGGGGGTAGCCAGGGGGAGGGGGGGTAGCCAGGGGGAGGGGGGTAGCCAGGGGGAGTAGCCAGGGGGAGGGGGGGTAGCCAGGGGGAGTAGCCAGGGGGAGGGGGTAGCCAGGGGGAGGGGGGGTAGCCAGGGGGAGGGGGGGTAGCCAGGGGGAGTAGCCAGGGGGAGGGGGTAGCCAGGGGGAGGGGGGGTAGCCAGGGGGAGGGGGTAGCCAGGGGAGGGGGGTAGCCAGGGGGAGGGAGGTAGCCAGGGGGAGGGGGGTAGCCAGGGGGAGGGGAGTAGCCAGGGGGAGGGGGGGGTAGCCAGGGGGAGGGGGGGTAGCCAGGGGGAGGGGGGTAGCCAGGGGGAGTAGGGTAGCCAGGGGAGGGGGGGGGGTAGCCAGGGGAGGGGGGGTGGCCAGGGGGAGGGGGGTAGCCAGGGGAGGGGGGGTGGCCAGGGGAGGGGGGTAGCCAGGGGAGGGGGGGTGGCCAGGGGAGGGGGGTAGCCAGGGTTAGTGGTCGCCAAGGAGAGGATGGTCAGGGTAGCCAGGGGGGGGGGGTAGCCAAGGGGGGGTAGCCAGGGGGGGTAGCCAGGGGGGGGTAGCCAGGGGGAGGGGGGGTAGCCAGGGGGAGGGGGGTAGCCAGGGGGAGTAGCCAGGGGAGGGATGGGGTAGCCAGGGGAGGGGGTAGCCAGGGGGAGGGGGGGGTAGCCAGGGGGAGGGGGGGTAGCCAGGGGGAGTAGCCAGGGGGAGGGGGGGTAGCCAGGGGGAGGGGGGTAGCCAGGGGAGGGGGTAGCCAGGGGGAGGGAGGTAGCCAGGGGGAGGGGGGTAGCCAGGGGGAGGGGAGTAGCCAGGGGGAGGGGGGGTAGCCAGGGGGAGGGGGGTAGCCAGGGGGAGGGGGGGGGTAGCCAGGGGGAGGGGGTAGCCAGGGGGAGGGGAAGTAGCCAGGGGGAGGGGGGGTAGCCAGGGGGAGGGGGGGTAGCCAGGGGGAGGGGGGTAGCCAGGGGGAGGGAGGGGGATAGCTAGGGGGAGGGGGATAGCTAGGGGGAGGGGGGGTAGCCAGGGGGAGGGGGGGTAGCCAGGGGGAGGGGGGGTAGCCAGGGGGAGGGAGGGGGTAGCCAGGGGGAGGGGGGGTAGCCAGGGGGAGGGGGTAGCCAGGGTTTAGTGGTCGCCCAAGGGGAGGGTGGTCAGGGTAGCCAGGGGGAGCGGGGTCACCACCACCACCAGTGTCTCCTCCTAGACTCTTAGATACATCGAACACGTTGGGGTTTTTTTTTTAATGAGCCCCACGGTCCGGTCCACGTGGTGGCCTTCAATAGAGGAACTAAACGCCCTCCCTCCCGCCGACGCTATCACGTGAAGTCTGAGCGTGAGCTCATGAAAAAAATCCAGGTTTTTTTGTTGGGTTAGATTGTCGCGTAAACAAAACAGCCAATTCCTTAGTAGTTCAGCACACCGGTGTGTTGGAGAGTAAACCGACATTTGCAAATGTAATTGTACATGTGTCAAACCCGGGTGGTTGCGGGTTTGACACATTTACATTTACGCGATCTAACCCCCCCAAAAAACTTAACGTATATTGGTCGCGAAAGTCTACGTCTTAAACCAAAAGACGATAATGTAGGGCAGGCTGAGCCCTGAGGCTGAAACGCTTTTCTCGAACATAGAACTTTGACAACACCTTTCGTTCCTCTACCCCTGAATGTTTTATTTCCCCCCCCCCCCCCCCCCCCCTAAACACAAGGTCACGCTACATTGGTTGAGCCAACAGCTCACCTCCGTGAGCGCGGATATGCAATTACCGTACAGTATTGCAAATGAGTAAGGGGAAAAACCGAACTGGCTGCATTCACGTAAGAAAGACTCGGTCGTAACAGCCGTGTGCTTTATTGAAGCCGGTCGCAATAGCAGTGCACGTGCAAGAACGGCGATGATCCCCGGGCACAGCAGCTTGGGAGGAGCCGCGTGGGGTCACGCACGGCTGACCCCACCGCGTAACCCACGCTCGAAACGCCACACGTTCCACACGCGCAACATCAATGTCGCATTAGCATAAACCCGATGGTGTGGAAAAAATCCCTAAAACCGCGCGTAAAACACGATGCGTGTACGTGCACGTCTATCTCGATACGCCACAGCACCACACACGCTTCCCACAGTACCCGCTACTCAAAATAACGCGGGGGAAAGTTTCCTTCACCCCTTTAGTTGAACATTGCAATATTGTCGTCTCAGTCCGTCTTCAACAACTCTCCGAAATGCAGTATACAGTATGCAAGCGTGAGCCGGTGGTTTCAGTCTACATGTATCGTCAGTTTATCAACCTTGTTTTTACGTGCTCATTTCACCATGATCATCCACCACCAATCCACTGCTGGATGATGGCCTTCCCAAGCCGTCCGCATCTCTCACTATTCTGAGATGCAGCAGTCCACCTAGTACTTGCCCAGGAGCAGGTTGTAATCTTTTAATCAGGAAAAGTGTATTGAATTTTAATTCTTTATATTCACCCTAGTGTATTGTACGTTGAACTTTTTTGGCAACGTACGCAGCCAAAACTGTGATAATCGGAGGTGCGGGGGGGTGGGCACAACAAACTAAACACAGGGTCCGGCGATTATACGGGAGAACCCAGTGCACTTATTCAATTAGTGTGTGAAACCCCGCAGGACGCACGCAATTAACTATGATTTTAAATACGTGATGCGTCTTGCAGTGCTGCTTAACAGTCACCACGACTTTCCACCGCCTTGTCCACGTCACACACGTGCACATAAGCTACAACCACTTCCTCTCTGTCACTGTACTGGTTTTTTTTTCCAGTTTGCTCAGAACTGCTATTTTACTTGCATACATACGAGTTTTAGCAGCTTTAAAGACAAAATGGAAAACACCTGGCTGACGTACACCTCGCACCCCAGTGGCTTGGCACTCGGCAAGAACCGGCAACCTGCCCAATGCAGCCACTTAAGTCTCATACTGTCCATATTCTCCTAACCAAAGATTCATCATGGAGCCATCAGTACCAAGGGCTTTTTGGTTGTGCTAACTTGTCATGCCACGGTGTATGGACAGCGAGCACGAGAAGCAGCACAACGCGAGGAATGCATCTACATCGAGCCAAGGAGGTGTCTTCTTTGGTCTCCTGGCCTTGCACTGGTGCCCAGAATCTGGGCAGGTTCTGCAGAGACCAGCAGCGCGCACCCCGGTCCACACCTGTCAAAAGTCCCCGCCGCAAGGAATTCCTCGTCACCATTTATTTACAGAAGCATCACTCATTTGGCTGTTGTTTTTAAGACATCCTGCATGCACTGGTTGCAATGCTGGTGACACTCACATTGTGCACCACATGCCTTTAAATGTTCATCTAACCAGTGTATAGAATGCTGGCCAATCAGAAGAAAGTGAACTAATCCAAGCCTTTATGTAGTCCTTGAAAGGCAAGGCTTGTTCACTGGAATGAAGTCACATCTGTGCAAAGTCAGAAGTGATGTGCCGTTTGGCTAAATCTAAACGCCATGTAGGACGTCATCTTCGAGCAGCTCAGCAAACCAATCTCCGTCCTCCTCTCCTGATAAAACACAAATGCCCACACAATTGCATGTTACATCATTTCATCCGGGCAGCAACAAAGACTTCACCAAGACAAGGCCGATCAAATAAGAGTATTTCTCATTCATATATTTGGAGGTTGCTTGACAGCATTTGAGTTCTGAGTCAGGTGATGTTATGGTGTAGCAGCCACCCAAGTGTACATTGTGCATAACAAACCTGACTTGGCGCAGGGGTCAAACAACTCCAACTCATGTTGGGAAAGTCCAGCTACAGGAATAGAGGCCAAGCTGGGATCCCTAGCACCAACATCCTCACTCTTGTCACTTTTGTTCTCGCTTTCTCTCTCGTCCATGCTTCTACCCCCTTTGTATTGCCCCTGGGTGTCCTCCATCTTCTCTTCTTCATGCAGGCCTTGTCCCTCTCGTGGTGCCTCAATCTTCATATCTAGTGTGGTGGTGACTGGGGCTGTGTCTGTGGTATCAAAGCCAACATGCAACCATACATGAAATTAGAATATTGTTTAAATGTCATTCTATTTTATAAAATTAAATCAGCTCACATCCATGTGCGAGGTGCATTATTACATCCCAGGATCATGAGATGGTAACGGCCTTGGGGGGCCTTCATCCAGCAGTGGATGGATAATTGCTGATAATTAGATTTCCTATTATACAAAAGAAAATTGTATAAACCTTTCCAATGCACGGATACAACCCAATAATCTTGCTATTTCTCTTTAATAAAACACCCCTTCATTAAAAATATGTTTGGCAGCAGGTGCATCCTCACCATATGGAGGTCCCGCCTCGTCTAGACATAGATCCGTGGAGATGACACAATCTTCTACTCCGCTCACAGACAGCGTGGAGGTGAGGCCATCCAGCAGATCCAAGTCCTCATCTGCAACTTGAGGCTGGCAAACAGCTGATGACGCGCTGTGTGAGGGCTGGAGTGCAGGTGGTATGGTGGTGTTGGCAGGCAGCGGCGGAGTGGATGGCGGGGAATCGATGCCCGGTAAAGGCAGCAGTGGTTCGGGCAGAGATGGCAGAGGAGCAGACTCTCCTAACTCATAGCTATGGCCTCCCTGATTAAAAAAATGCACATACATTTGGGGTAGAAACTGATAACATATTCGTGTTTTCACGTGCGTATGTGTCACTTATGTGCGAATGGAAGCTTTTGTCGTGTGATTCGGTAGTCAACACTTTAGGCTGTGTAACATAAACTGTATCTTAGGTCTCTAGCATGTGTACAACATAAAAAAAAAAGTACTGTATTTTAAAGTAAAATTTGACTTCAAGTAAAAATCTCAGCAGTTTGATTTTTCTTGATACACAGCTAACGCCTGCTTCTGGCAAACACATGCGGCATCACCTCCAGGAAGTCCTTGAGCTGCTGGCTGTTGTAGAGTGCCGGCACGGTGGCAGCGAAGCGCAGCAGCATCTCGGCACTCGCACGCCGCTCCTCGAGCACGGCCGCCTCGAAGCGACCTCCACACACACACAGCCCCACCGCCGCTCATTACCCGCACAGGGCACACCATCAACCTCTAGCATGAAGGTCGTAGCGGGTGTTATTGTCTCGCAAATCACTTAGCGTTAATGCACTTCTGTAGGAGAAATTCATGCAGATGAAACAATTGTAGTGGTGTAAGATTTACATGGCTGCGGGAGTAAGCAAGAGTTGCTTCAATTAAGTAAGCCACAAACGCATTCGCATCGGACAAAGGAACAGTGGGGAAGAAGGGATGAGGGATTAAAACAATCAATTTCAGAGCCAAGCAAACAACCTTAATCGCCAAGTTCAATGGTGCGTGGCAGACATTAAAATGAACCTATCATAAATGAGTTGTACTTTATGCAATTAAAATAGCAGCGCAAATAGGACACTACAGCGATCACAGACATTTATTCGATCAAAGACTGCGGTAGCAACGGCGCTGCGCCACCTAAAGGTTGCCTTCTCACCAAATATTGTGGGCTTCGCAAAAGCAGGAAACTCCTCCGAGCGGCGGCGGAAGAGGTTGCGGTGGATGTAGGCCAGGTCGCGATGCAACTTCTTGAAGTCGCTGTAGCGTCTCCAAACCACGGTCTGCAACTCGCGCACAAGCAGCCGTGTGTCACATCGGTGACCCCACCCGGCGCACACACCACACAAGCTGCTACTCACGGAAAAAAACTGTGTGTGCTGGAGCTGGATGAATTGTCGGATCGGGGAAACGGTGAGAGATGGCAATGGTTTGGGGTGGGGCGAGCTTCACGATGATGGTGTTGAAAATATACACTGTGTAAAAAATATATATACACAGTACCTCCGAAATCTTCTCCGGATGTTTCCTGGACACGATCTGTGGAAGATAAGTTTACAGGTTATTAATATTTGAGGCTAGGAATTGATTTAACTGAACACATTACGGTACTGCCTACTGCACAGTTCTGACAGACCGAGGCCGACTGAGAAATACGGAACGGGTTGAGTGTGTGTAAAGGGTGGCAACTCTTCGTGCACTAAATCTCGTCGTCAGTGGAGAAAGGTGGTGACCCCTTACTAGAGCCCTCCTTCCCGGCCTGCCATGGTCAGGGCTAGTGCCAAGGCTTCAGTTCGCCTCATTGGCCATGTTTATTTGTTTGTTGTAGTACGGAGTTAGACTGATGGCCTTAATGTAGGTTGTCTTGTGGTTGTTTGTGTTGTTGTTGGACTTGCATCCCACTAGGGATTTTTGCACACAGCGTTGGTGTACGGTGCTTTTTCTGCAATATTTTTGCTGTCTTTTCTTGGATTTTCTGTTTGCGCATAGTCACGTAGTCACTTTAAGATGTGTTTCTTGTTCATGTTTTAGCTTTTTTTGTCTGTTGCGGTTGCACCCGATTCAAGAGCCGAATGGCTCACAGGGCTATACCAAAATAAATGAAACCGAAACTGAAATTGGCAACTACACGCAGTTTAGTCTTCGCCGTTAAAGAAGATTACTGAAGCCTTTCGGGCTGTAAACATTGGCTGGCCCCAGGTGCCACGTCCACCACATTCGTGATGGTCAACACAGCACCACACACACGCACACACACAAGTACGTTCATAATGAACAGGCAAAGTGCTCTACCGTAGTAACGCGCTTCTGTTAAGCCTCTCGGTACCATGTTGCCTCCACCTTTATTCAACGACGTGTTCTTAGGTCAACAAAAGAACGTCCCAGTCGGGTGTAATCGACAACAGAAACTCGAGCGATCGCCAGTAAGCGGAGGTAGAAACGGCATCCCAGGCAAGATTACGGAGGCGGAATTCTGCTCGGCTTGCAACTTCTTACACACAGCCAACCCGAATATATTTATGCCCGTGATACTGTATAGGTAACACAATCCCACCAGATCCCGGCACACATTCAATCCTCGTCACCTGAACACAATTCCCAGATTCTTGGGTCTTTCGGTAAAGTCACGAAGATATTTTGATTTAAAGCTTTCGTGACTGCAGTAATTCATATTCTTGGGTCTTTCGGTAAAGTCACGAAGATACGTTGACTACGACGTTTCGATCGCAACACAAAGCGGTCGTCATCTTCCTGATCTTCCTGACGACCGCTTGCGTTGCGATCGCAACGTCCTCGTCAACATATCTTCGTGACTTTACCGAAAGACCCAAGAATATGAATTACTGCAGTCGCGAAAGCTTTTAAGTCAAGATGTAACCAATTCCCAGACTATTCGGGTCAAACCCGTACAGGTGGCAACCGCAAGTGGGAGCCCAGAGCGTACATTAAATCGAGACGCATGAATCACTCGCGTCAAATCCCCAGCTGGCGGGGAATTCACATAAATTACTTAATCACAACGAAACACAACGACGACGACAACAACAACAACAACGCGCGTATACCGTCGCTGTACGCCCCAACCCCCCCGTGCCCGCCACGAGCCGGAGCCTCGGACTGGCCTAGTGGCGCTACCGGCGGAGAGCGCTGCCAGGCGGCTAGAGGGGTGGTGGTGGGGGGGGGGGTGCCGCGGCCGCTCACCCGCGCCGTGACCTTGTACTCCGTGTGCCCGCGCTCATGGAGCCGCGGCTCGGACACCGAATAGAAGCGGCTCAGCGGCTCCTTCTCTGCCCCTCTGCGCGGCATCGCGCTCAGAGCCTCTTCGTTCACTTCTTATTCTTTCTCTGGCGGCGGCGGCGGCCTCAGCAACGCGGAGGCAGCGGCGAGCACGGGCGGGCGGGCGGGCGGGCGGTCACCGGACCCTCCCGCGGAGACACGGGGACCCGGAGACACGGGGACTTCCTCGGTGACACGGGGACTTCCTCGGTGACACGGGACGTGGAGACACGGGGACCCGGAGACACTGGACGTGGAGACACGGGGACTTCCTCGGTGACACGATGACACGGGGACCCGGAGACACTGGGACTTCCTCAGTGACACGGGATCGTGGAGACACGGGGACTTCCTCGGTGACACGGGATCGTGGAGACACGGGGACTTCCTCGGTGACACGGGAACCCGGAGACACGGGGACTTCCTCGGTGACACGGGACGTGGAGACACGGGACTTCCTGGGGGACACGGGGACGAGGACACTCCTGCGGCACGGTGACAAGGGGACGTGAGGACACGAGAGTGCGGAGACTCTAAAACATCGACAGGTCCCGGGATAAGGGGACGTGGGGCACGGGGAGACGGGAACAGAGATCGAGACCAAGAGACACTGCGACTTGGATACGAGGGGATCTGGAGATGTGGACGCAGAAGCCATGAACAGGAGGATATATGATGGCCTGTGGCTGGTTGAATAAAATTACAGAAATAATTTCCCCCAGGCATTTACCGCTTTCAATGATAAACCAAGGCAAACGTTCGGTCAAAGTGTCTTACGAAACAAACCACTGTAGACCTATAAATATTAACCCAGAAGCCACGACTCAGAGCTCCTCTTAAGAGGACTCTTGCAGCCACCTTCATAAGTGTTGGTCCCATGACCTGCACCGACGCTGGTGATATAACCACATCCAACAGGGACCCAGATATTGTCATTTCATCCCCACCATCACACATCAGTCAAATCCACAGTTTCAAGGACTTGAGACTCCTGATAAGTTTTAGTTTTGTATTCATATCCATTTCATTGTTTACTTTGTATGCCACTTGAGAACTTGGGATGTCCTTATAAATGATATTCCATCTCATGGGATTATCCGGATAAAATGTGTTTTTTTTTACTGTCATTTGGCCTTGATAATGTAACTTCTTTCGCACCGTTACCAACCATGCTAACCAGAGGTAGGGGAATAATCTTCTCCAAGAGCGGTTGACCACTCATGGGTTACTGTAATCGTGCCCTTCCAAGATCTAGTCGGGTCAAAGTGACCTGGTTTCGTTGGAACTTGATTGCGTAGGTATAGATGTGGATATGTTCAGGGGCGGAGCCAGGATTTTCAGCCCCGGGGTGACATTCAATAAATTTTAATTTCAAGAATGATTGAATGAGAAATCGGCTATACCCCACGCCATCGGTTAGCGACACACTCTGACAATGCAGTTGCACGGAGTCCGCCAGACCGAGTGTCGTACACTTAGACGCAGAATGTTTAAGATTTTCGATTTTTTAAATATTTTTTCGTGGGTGACAATTGTTTACCCCGTCACCCTCCTGGCTCCGCCCCTGGACATGTTAATGTTAGGGTTTCACACTCACCCTTGCATATTGCAATTCGTTGTTTCGTTATGTCCAGACCAGGTATTTTAAATGGAAGCAATGGAACTCATCCTCCCTGAAATGTACACGGGTTATCTATTTACAACCACTAAAACATTGCAAAGTGGTCCAGATGTCTTGTGACCCCATGTAATTCCCGAAAACATGTCTTTAAATAAGGTTTATTTAAAACAAAAATGAATATGCAAAGGGGAAAAATGTTCTGTATCAATTGATTGGGGATCACAAGACATATGGAACCCACCCTGTTGCGTACTGGTCATTCGATTCAAGTTATTACATAATTACAGGATCATTATATTTATCCACCTTATTGCAAGCCATACATGCCTGTGCATACTCTTACATCCAGTAATCGAAAGTTCTTCACGTACATTACACCAACACTGGAACTGGGGTGTTCCTTTCCTAAAATGGCACCGAACTTTACCAGAGCATTTAAAATTAGTTATAAACTAGGACTTGTGCACTTTATGAGAAAACATACAGATGTTATGTTTATGTTTACATTTTTTTTCAAGTAGAGGAATTCGTTGATAAGAAACTGAATGCCAAAACGTGTCCAGTTTGCCTTTATTAAACCAATGCTGCTGAAAAATGCACTCCCAGAAGGCCATGTGGCCGATGAAATGTGTAAAATTAAACTTTAGATTTTTAATGGAAAGACAATATGGTAAGGTGTATTGTCTACTTATTTATGTTTCTATATCTGTGGGCATTTAAGATGCAATGACATGAGGTACATTTGAAATTAAATGATATGAGAGCATTCGACAGCACCATTGTCACATCTAGATCATTCACAATCAAAATATACAATTATACTAGTAGGATATACAGCGAGTAAAAAAGAAATCAAGTATAAATGGCGAATTACAAAAATTGCATTTGGAAGAAATTGAATCTCAACTTTTCATATCAAAATATACAATACGGACTACGTGAAGAAGCTGCTATATAAACATTTGAATATGACATATCAGTAGTAGTATCGCTGACATCAAATTGAGGCTTGTATACAAAATATATGTCAGAATGTGGAAATTATGAAGCTAAATTATTAGCATGGATACAAGTTTAACAAGTACATTAAGTAGAACCTCTTTCAACATATACTGTATAGCAAAATAAACACAAATGTTATCCCTTGGTACGAGAATTTCATTAATATAGCATTGGACTCGGATCAATATACTTCAAGATACAATAAAGATTAGGGCGTTGATCAGTCCTTGTGAAGAACTTCTCTCTTCAGGGTCTCTGCGAGCAGCCTCCGTCTCTGAAGTGCTTTCTTCTCCTCCTCAGGAAGCTCCTGCAAATGAAGAGATGGCACTGCTCTGACTCATCTTTACACTGGGCCCAAGCACTCACTGATCCACCAGCCATACTTCATAGTCTCTTGTAACAGGAAGGTCTGCTAATTAATTCTTATTGGCTTCTGGAATCACAGCTGAGGGTAAGGTGGTCCAAAACTAATCAAAATCTGAACTCAGAGAATTTATAGATGGCTAAAGCATGTGCACATTATAAACCAGTGTTAAAAAGACATTGCCTAAAAGATGCTTCACCAAATCAAATTTAGATATACAAGTCCCCTTAACTAACCCAGAAGCATAAGAACTGAGGTTATTTGTGGTGAAGTGTATTGTTTATTTTCACCCAACTAGACAGTCAAGTTTACTTTGCTTTGTTTCTACATTCAGATTGGAGGATACGGTGTCTGAAGCATACAAACCTACTTAACTACAGAACTACATATTCTTGGGTCTTTCGGTAAAGTCACGTAGATAGGTTCAAAGAGAATAACAAAAATAACAAAAAACTACGTTTCGTCTTCAGGAAGACGACCGCTTGTGTTGCGATCGAAACGTCGTAGTTTTTTTGTTATTTTTTTTTTAACTATCTAGGTGACTTTACCGAAAGACCCAAGAATATGAATTCCTGCAGTCACGAAAGCTTTAAGTTAATATTTACAGAACTACATTTATTTGGACTTGGCATTGGTGGGCCACTTGTAGAGGGAGCCATGGTAATGCGAACATTAACAAACTGGGTGTCATGTGAAGTCTGGGACCGCTTGCCTGGAACTCTGCATGTGTGCCAGAGGCACTGCCAGTCTTCTCATCCAGGGACCGCCCCCTCTCCTCAAGCCTTTGTGCCGATCTGAGCCGGTCTCTCTGCTGCTCCAGATACATCCTCCTCTTTGCTATCTCCTCCTCACATAATGTCGACTGGTCCTGCATTACGGCAAGTAAACACCGATTCTATCAGTTTGTGGCTACCGGAAAACTTAACAATCACCACAACATATACAAGCATGCATAACTCATAACCTCTCACTGTAATATAGAACATGATTTATACATTATATACAATGCAAATAAGCAACCTGTGGCTGAATGCCATGTTTTATATATTTAATGTCAGGATATGGGGAAGGTGCAAACAAGGCTCACTGTGTCTTCGTTTCTGGATTGAGATGTCACAACTCTGCTGCTGGATATGTCTTCATTGCTCAGTTGCTGCTGTGAATGTCCCCCATCAGGTGGCCCATGTCCAACAGAGGCCACAACGTCCAGCTGAGTGCCCCGCGGGTAGGAGCGCAAAGGGCCCAGGGCCTTTCTCTCTGGTCCAATGCTACAGCCATCTGGTCCATATCAAACCACACAGTACATGGGTGAGCCAAACTGTAAAGATCAAACATGGGTGCTGATGTAAATAAGTCACTCACTGCCTTGTATCTTGTCCCCCAGGTTTGCAGTGGCAGCAGCTCGTGCTGCAACAAAATCCTCACTCTTCCCTCCATTTTCAGTCGTCGCACCTTCCACCAGTGCAGCATCCACTGCCCCCTGCTGTATCACACATTTCTCATTTATTACAAGTAAACATGCAATAATCAAAAACGTATGCAGAGTCATTTATAACAATAAACACACAGATCCAATAAGACATAGGCATGAAAACCAAGATGCACAAATATCATACAAACCCAATTGACCAGAGAAGTGTGCACCATGCAAAACGTGAGCAGTGTGCGTCAGCAAACCTGCCGAGGGCCAGCCGTGCTACCGGGAACATCTGGGAGGAGAGCTGGGGCCTCTGTTGTCGCTCTGGGCTTCTCCTCGGCAGCTATGCTTTCCAGCCGTCTTCTTAGCAGCTCCTGTTCATACTCCTCCTTGGAAAGCCTGCACAAGCAAGCATGTTTACACTGTCCATGAAAAGAAAACTTATCTGCATAAACACCAGTGAAGGAGAGAAGCACTTGTAATATTTTCTACAAAATGCATAATTCGTAAACATAACTAATTTCATGTCGACAAGTATTGATATATATATGTGCATATATCCAAGGGCAAAAGCCCCTGTTACATGTAAACACGTGAATAAAATTAGCCTGAACATATGAGACCATGTGAACTAACACACTGGCCATGCTGGCCATGCTGGCCACACCTGAGGGCTTCGTGTAGAGACTCGGCCTCACGGCGCTCCAGCATAGACACAGCATCCTCCCCGCCTTCCAGAAGACAGTCTGGCAGCACCCCTACGAGTACAACAAGAACCAGTCACAGCCATCATCACGCAACTACCTCCGGAATTGAATGCCAACCGCGTGCCACAACATTTTATACAGCAGCAAATGGAGACGACAGCAAGATACAGTATACACATACTTTTCCAAAACTGGCAAGATGGGTTAGGAATGTCAAGTTGGAATATATTCTTCAGTTACAACTATTGCGCAGTGGCAAAACCAAGTTAATATTTTCCTTGGGTACATTTTTGTGAAAGGATGAATACGTCCACTCACTGCAGGCTGCTTATTTACAAAAGCATAATCCTTTAGCCACTTTGAATCAAACATGCAGAGTGGCCTTAAGACTACCTTGGTGCTGGACTATGTCATTCAAGGCACGGCCCTGCATCTCCAGGTTCTTCTCCACCATCAGCTCTTTGAAGGCAACAAAATCCTCAGCAGCCCACACCGGCTTGAACGCACTCTGTGGTTCGGTTAAAGGAATAAGCAATCACAAACATTGCCCAAATGTGCCATTATCACCAAAAGAACCAAGAATAAAAAATAAAAAGGTAAGTGTAGTTTAACACATAGGCTTTCGCGATCAATATTATCCGTAATAGTTGTTTTGGGTAATTACCGGCGAAACGTCGTACTCGAATTGTATGTGGGTTTACTCTCCAACACACCGGTGTGCTGAACTACTAACTAATTTTGATTTAAAGCTTTCGTGACTGCAGGGATTCATATGCTTGGT